TTCCGGACACTGCGGAGGTGGTATGTCACCGTGTCAGCGAGGAGGACGAGCACGTCCGTCGCTACATGGTTGCATTGGAGGGCAGGTTCGACAATACCTGGCAGGTTCTTCAGGGATCTCACTGGAGCTATGATCCTATGATGCTTCCTTATCTTTGGGTGTCCACCGCCCGCGTCGATACCCGTCAGGCGCTACGGTTCTAGTTGTATTAGTGATGCTATATTAGTGATAATATTCGACGATGTACGGACACCAAGAGATGATGTACTTTTGCTTATAATTATTGAATGCATGCTAATTTGAATACTACTTTATTTTATGATTTGGTTTTGCTTATTTTATGATTTGGTTTTGCTTATTGAATGCTCATATTGGATAAGTTCGCCTTCATTCCCGTGTGCTAGACAATTTGATGTAATAATGCACTCGGGAATGAAAGGAGGAGCTACGTACATCACCGATAGTCAACCCGTGATTAATAATCTAGTTTAATATTTGAATTATGAACATAGGCCGAAAATGTCGTACTCGCACGACGAAAACCGTCCGGGGGAGTGTGACTAGTGCCACGACGACCGAGGTATCTGCGACAGGTTCATTGAGCTGGACGAAGATCGTCGCTTCAGCATTAAGCTCGAGGAGACCTTCGATGTTCATATGGTACGCAACTGACGACAATAGTTTTTTTTCGTAATTACTCATGACTTCAACTATTTTAATCATGACAATATTTTTCATCTTTTCCAATTCGACTAGCTTATCCCATGCTTTGCAAGACGCTATGTCTTGGAGAGGATGGGTTTTGAAGACCATGAAAGTTTCGAAACCAAAAAAATTATCCTAAGTACCCATCATGGTGTGGATTTTCAAATAAAGTTGTACAATGCTCAGAGTGTAACCCATTTTGGTTGCAAAAATTGGGAAGCACTTTGCAAGATGTATGGTCTTGATGAGGGTATGCTTGTCACCATGGATCTTGGTGATCCTACAATCGAGCAAGAAAGACTTTCGATTTGGGTCCTTGTGGATACACCTCCAATTCTTCCCCCATGTGAGCTTAACATAGTTATTAAGTAATTTATATTGTTTATTTCAAAATAGTTGACAACTTATCTCCATTGACAGCTTATTTTCATTCTTCAAAGAATGTGCGGAAGATGGTAGACATAACCTAGTACACCGAAGGCTCCGAATTAACTTATCAGGAGAAAAATTATCTGGTCGCATTTTGTACTGATCTTGAGAATTACAATATCTACAATCAAACTCCTCAACATTATGGTCAATACGTGCCACTAGTGCACGTGTTGAACTACGGTAACTACCATGGAGATACCCTGGTAAGATTTTTTTACTATTACGACATCCGTGATCTTTTTGCACACTTCTAAAACTAGTACATCATTGCTAACTACGAAGTTATTACTATGTTTTTCAACAGATAATCCCAAATGATTGTGTGCCTCATCTGATGTATACGCATGGTAGCCTTCATGTTTTGAACATACAACCAGGTCGTCCTACGAATCTCAACTGTCCATACCGGGTTTCTAAAAGAAGTGGAGACATAACAATCAAAGAATGGAAAAAATGTATGGACAGTCGTAAGGAGCTTCTTGGAAGCAACAAGCAGCGAAGGGCAAGAATTGGAGACTGGATGATCGCCATTCTTCATAATGGAGAGTCAGAGTCTATATTGTTTTATGCTATTTTACCTTAAGGGTGTTTAGGTCCTACCTGATACTGATGATCATGTGCTAAGAACAATTATGTAGGGTTGGGTTCGATGACTATGAGGATGATGATCGTATGACTTATTACTAATAACGAGTAGAAGTTGTATGATGATGCATATGACTTGTTATTATATATGATGATGTATGATGCGCATGGATGAGCATGTTATATCAGCGGGTGAAATGAACATAGCAGCAGCGTTGATAAACCAAGGACGAAGATATAAGAGAGGACACTTCTCTCTATTAGCTAGCTAATAACAACCTAAAAATAACCCCCAAAACCCCTAAAGCAGCCACATTTGTAAAAAAAAACATGAACTTTTGGTCCCGGTTGGAGCCACCAACCGGGACCAAAGGCCCCCCTGACTGGACTCGGCGGACCAGCCACGTGGAGGCACATCTGTCCCGGTTCGTGTTTGAACCGGGACTAATGGGTGAAAGTATTAGTAACGACCCATTAGTCCCGGTTCTTGAACCAGGACTAAAGGCCCTTACAAACCGGAACTAATGGGTGTTTTTCTACTAGTGATCCCACATGATTCTAGCATCTCTGCATAAGTTATCAAGCTAAAGTGGTAAAGCAAAATATACTGTAGAAATGGGATGAAGTACACAGAGCTATCAAACACGTACAAATAGACAAAATATGTCAAGAAAAAGCAAAAGAAAGTGGCATCCATAACCTCTGGGCAAAGATCCCCGAAAAAGATGCTTAAGACCTGCAAGAATAAACAGCCAGACCACATCTCAGTTATAACAGTCTCACATGAAAGAGGATGCACATACATATATGATGGAACATCTCGACCATATTCCAGTACTATAAGAAACATTAATGTGAAACATGGGACACTGCATTTATATCTGTCATAGATAATTAACATTGAAAGAAAACACTTAGTACTACCATTGAGAGCAAGTACAATAAAGCTGAGTCAGCTGGCTATAAGAAATAAATTATTATATTCTTGCTTAGTTGGAGGAAAGAGAAGAGGAGAGAGAAGATAAGCGGGCTCTTGGTGAAGAGTCAGCTCTAGCATGTGCTCCTAGGCACTTTGTGAGAGTGAAAGGTGAGCCATATAATAAAAAAGTAATACACTCTTCTAATCAACTATTGTACATATTGGCTATAAAATGAGCTATTGATGACATGGCAATGGCTTATAGCCAGCAGTTGGCTATACTATTAACCATGCTCTGAGTATACTCCACCTGACCACCGTCCTAGTCCAGGTGTCTTGCACGACCTGTTACACATCACGCCCCTTCGAGCATCTTCCCATGCCAAATTGCCAAGTCGACCAAACCCTGTTTTAGTGCTTATGTGTCACTGAAGTCTGAACAAGAATTCTTCAGTGGCTTAATAGGTCTGTTAATTGTGTAACATTAGGGTGACACCAAAATTTTGTTATTACAGGAAACGGGTTTGTAATTCAAGCGAATGTATGAGAAAGTGTCTTTTTCTGTGTACAAACATTACCTCCCTCACCAAAGAGGTGGGATATATGGGTTAAAATTAAGGTGGGTAAGGGCATGAATTATATATGGTCTACTAATTTTAGGGCTTACATGTAAGGCCTTTATGGGTAAGACGTGTAACGGACACGGGTAATGCTATTCCATCCCCATCCCTGTCTTGTGCGCTGGGTAAGTTAATTGACCCACCAACTTCCTCATGGGCATGAAAGTTGGCACACGCCCGCCCCATAATAGAGTGATTACCCACAGGGACGCGGGTAACGGTTAACCATTGCCAGCTTGAGACGGGACTACGTCTCACCGTCTCGCTTGGTCACCAGTGCCCAGTACATGTACTCTGGTAATGGTTCTGATCAATCTTCCCAGCCAGCGTCCCAGATAACATGGTCCGAACACCTGTGCTTTAAAATCTTTGTCCCTCTTCCCGGCGCACTTACTTGTCAATCCGACTCCCCTCCGCCGGCGATGCCTCTGCCATGTCGTCCCCTGTTCCAGGTTGCTCCTAGCTCGGCGTCGTGGCGATGCCCCTTGTCCATCTCAAGATGTGCATATTGATTGCCATCGGTTGCAAATTTAGGCAGAACTTGTCGTTAGCAAACACGAACGCTCATGTATTCTCATCATCATTCCATTTTATTTTATTTTGAGAATATCGTCATTAAGTATCAGAAGTGTTTTTTAGCGCAACACCAATTGTATTTTTTTTATAGAAACACTAGTTGTATATTTGTTCAAAATAAGAAGAGGCCAAGAGGGAGCAAGTAACGAAAACCTACAACCCATGCAGAACCTCTGAAGGTGAAAAGACAGCATCGGCATAGCACTGATTGGGGGCGAGTCTATGTCTCGCTTGCTGCACGATCCAAGATCGCGTCGCTTACAGTGAGCTGGTTGTGAGTCGTCCCATTAACCATGTGTATCACCATGCTGATGTCAGGCAATATTTTTTCTTTTATTTTTATGTTTTGGATATAACTAAGTACATACAATACAAAGAAATAATTTAGTTAAGATGTGGCATTTCGATATAAATGTTCATGTCACTGCCTAACCAGTATGCTGCCACACTATGGCACTATCATTTTCTTACTTATGTTTTGGAAAAAAGTAAGTACATATATTAGATAAAATGTTTTAGTTAAGATGTAACATTTTGAAAATGTTCACGCATTGAAAATATGTGACAGTTAAAAAAATGTTATGCAATGTATAAAAAAATGTTCGCCTAATTACAACAAATGCAGCTTACATGTTAAAAAGTATTCATGTTTTCCAAAAATATGTTTGTGACATTAAAAATGTTTATATAATGTAAAACAAATGTTCACATAGTTTACAAAAAATTTGCGTTCATTCACAAAAAATGTTTCATTGCTTAACATCAAAACATATTTGATTTACTTTCAAAAAATATATTTGAAAAATGTTAATCTTGTATTTAAAAAATGTTAAAGGCACATAAAAATATTTTAGATATATACGAAAAATGTACAGTGTGTATGAAAAATAGACATCAAAACATAGAATAGAAAAATGTTAATCATGTATTTGAAAAATGTTAAACGTGTATATTTTTTTTTCAAAATTATGTCCCTTACCGAAAGTAAAGGAATCAGGTAATTTCTTCCTAAAGAATTACAAACATGCAGTCATTACAAAAATCATTAATCTGACAATTGTAATGGGTACTTATGGATATGTATAACGAGTAATTCTTGTTTCGGAGTGAAACATAAAAACAAATTGTTCAATATTGACAAGCTCATGTTACAAAGAAAAAAACTAGAGACAAACATATGCATCACGCTTCCTCCGTAAGGTTGTAGGCTGCCTTTGAGCACAAGAAGGGACGTGGTAAATGAACTCAGTATAAGGGGGTATCTGTGATTCCCATGTCACTAAATCGAACTCACCCTTGGGACGAAGGGTAGGATCCACAACGAGGTCTCCAATCCTTATCTTGGGTAGTTTCCTTTCGAAAGCCTCGGCTTCAGTTCGAGGAGGCATAAGGAGTAGCGGAGCAGCTGGCGCAGGTAGAAAGTTGGTGAAATCTACCGGATATCGTATTCTAACACGGACCGACAAGTGCTCACCAAACATCGATAAGTTGGCCTTCGTCATATTCTTGTATCTGTTCAATATGCAAAGCCAGAATTGAAGGCTCAGGTCCCTCCTCAATATATTGGCAATTGAATATGCTCCCACAAATGACCCACCCAATAACTTGATGAACTCTCCTATCAACAGTGTTAGATTTGGGTGGTCCTTTGTGTGTGCACTGCCAAATGCTAGTGTCTTGAAGAAGTAGCTGTACTCCTCATCTTGTAATTTACTTAGGTAAATTGCCTTCACGGTACCATATCTTGTCAAACTTTCCATCCTACTTATGATTATAACCTTACTTTCTACTCTTATGGATGTCACCGTTCGGTAGAAAGATTTCCAATCCTCATCATCTACATCTGAAACAAGTGTGACAGCAACCAATATTCTCCCTGATGTGCACCTTTCAGTGTCTATTTTAGTGAAGTTGGCTCCATTGAGGTACAGAACAGAAGAGAAGTAACTACACACCTTCTCATCATTCCATACATGTGTTACCAGAGTTTTCTTCCCAACTAGGCTTCCACCAACGATTGGAAGCACGGGTGGAGAACCAAGAGAATTATGCTGTAACAAGAAATTGATAACTTGTTGCTTCTCGGTTCGACGACTAAACATGAAGTTGTCAACATAAAGATAGGTGTCATAGGGTCTGCGAACCATTCATTCGCATCCGCTCAAAAGTATAACAAACTCAGTGATATTAGAAATGGCACTTTCCAAATTTAACAAGGCACCTTGTAGGTCACAACTGCTGTCAACTCTGTGATTCCATATACCAGCGTTGGCACGAAAGCGCTTCAACGGAGTGCCAATATATGATACCAATGATCTATCCATCACTTCCTCAGTGCTCTCTTTGACTACTTGGTTGCACTTGAAGGTATCTAGCACATGATAACCCTGGTACATAGCCCTAGCTAGCATCTTAAGTTGTATAAGCATACCAGAGTTTGTGATGTACCGCCCGTCCGCCTCCTCGACAACTGTGTGAGCTCTTAGTAGGAGTTGCTGCAGCCTCTCCATATGCTTCTCCTCCAAGCGTGCAGGATCCCGATACATGTTTACCAAAAAGGAGAAAAATCTGCTAACAAGATCACCTGCAGCCGCAGACAGAACTGCTTCCATCCGGAAAACTCCAGCTAGGTTGAGATTGATGGGGATGAACAAGGAAATTGTTTTGGTTTTCACCTTGTAGAGGAAACTATTTTGGCTTTCACCTTGTACAGATCAGGTTCTGAGCTATGGTCTTCTTTATATGGATGCCATGCTATTTTGCCTGTAGCGTGAAAGAGCAACTGAGTGCGTTCTTGGTGACCTGTCCACGTCTTGTTGAACTAATGACAAGCATAATTAAGGTGGAAGTAGTTCACACAGCACCAATACATTGTGGAATTATGAGCACATCGTTCACTTTTGGTGTGCTTTTAGTGACAGACCTGTTTCTTTTTCCGATAAGGGAGGCTGAACCTCCGGCCTCTGCATCAATTGATGCACACATAATCTTGCCTAGTCCGAGTCCCAGATAGTACATTAGTTAGTACAACCTCCGTCTCAAAATATAATTAGCCTAAAAATATCATATATTCTTTGAGACGGAGGTAGTACTTCTGTCTAAATATTGCTGTGTGATTAGATTAGCAAAGCAATATGTGTACGACTCTTTAGTCGAATAGCTAGCTGGCTACATATTTCTAATCTGGATTTGAGCTGGCCGAGTTTGAGTTGGTACGTGTAGCATGTGTTCTGGTCTGAGTGGTACTAGGATGCCAAGTCCGTCTATGTATTCTGCCTTACCGTCGTGTGTGTGTGTGTGTCGTGGTGATGTATTGACTGTGTATAAATCTTAAATATACTAGCAAATGTGTCCGTGTGTTGAACGGGTGAATACAATGCATGAGAATAAGGCTCGCACCATAGTACTCTTTTTCTTTTTCTTCCTTCACCCATTATCTTCACCTCCCAATTCAAGCTCACCGCTGCAGGCAATGACACATCTGGTACACATATGCTCGTAAGTTAGTGTGCAAGCCAATAGGTGATGGACGGTGAAAAAGGAAGACAACGAACAAAACTTGGTCCAAGAAGCTGACTTCAATGATCGACATTTGGTTCACGGCGGAAGTGAGAGAGTTTTGGGGATTGGATTGATGGGAGGCACATAGATGAACTCCTATGAGTCTAATAAACTGACACGAAAGTTCACATTGGAACAACATTCCAATGACTGCATCAAGGTGATGCCGGAGTTGGCAATATCCAGTTCACGTCCATAGATGCCATGAGTCGTGATGCACGTAGTCAATGAGAACAATAGGATGAGGGAAAATGTCTAGGAAATCATCGGCATCTCGATGTGTAGATGTGTGCGAGTAACTGAAAGTTTTCTAACCAAGCGTGATGCAAACTTGTGGTGGCCGAGTGTTAAATTGTGATCCAAATTCTACCGTATTGGACTAGACGTAGTACATACGGTGTGGGCCTTTGCGTTGGTACCGACGCGTACGAGTACAACTCGTTTACTTGTCCTACAAGGACTCTCATGTATTGCCCTCATATATACCCCATGTAGCCGCACCTCAGACGGTTTGTCGTCTCGTGCTTGTAATACTCCTCCATCATAGTAATTGCGCCTTCGTGCGTCCGTGGTTTTCTCCCGTAAGGGTTTCCACATAAAAATCCGTATGTCTCTCGTGTCTCGTTTATTCTCGTTATTATCTAACACCGAGTTCCAGTGAGTGACAAAATTCGTCCTCCATGGCGCCCGGTGCAAGCTCTTCTTCATCTGAACCCTATAACTTTACAAGAGCGTGATGTAGACTTGTGGATTACGATGAAGTGTACCATTGTAAATTTATAGAGTTGGTGAGCAATCTTGTACGTGGTGGAAATCTCTGTAGGATTTTATTGAGCTGGCCATGTGCTTGAGAAGGGATGCATTTGTCCTTTGTGATGGCATTAGCCACGGGCTGTGGGACGGCGGTTGCTGGCTTGACTCTTCCCCCGGGCTTAATTTTTTGTATTTACTTACTCTGTCAGGATGACAAAAAAACTGACCAACGAATCATCACGTAACAAAACCGGCGTCTGTAAAAAAAACGAACTGATCGAAGGACCACCTATATACAGGACTAAAACCACATACCAAAGACACAGGAGCATGAAAAAAAGGTGAAAAAACAATCCTCCTCTTAAAATTAGGTACAGATGTGGCATCCAGGTGTGGACTCATCATGCTTGCTATGATGACGTGATTTTATGACCAGTAGATAAATCGTCCTCTTGAAAACGGATACTAAGAGCATCTCTAGCCAAACTCCTAAAAGGGTTTAACTCCTCATAAGAGATGCCCGCACCGGAATCACCCCATATCTTCCCCGCCGCGGCAGAGATCTTGTGGACAAAAAAGGCCACCGTTGAGCTTGGTTTTGTCCAAAACGGTACCTGCGGACGACCACGATGGCGTAGAGCACATGCGGAGGAGCTAAATTGCGCAGGAATAACGGCCCCACCGAGGAGTTTCCGATAATTGGAGTTCAGTCGCGGCGATCTTGGTCGGCAACGGGTGAGCAAAGCATGCAACGGCTCTCACCTCTCCGCCCGCAAAGTGTTTGACAAGTTTCCTAGGTAAAAATTTCCGTTGTATTTTACTTTTTTCCAATCAAATACAACATGGAATATTGTGAAGTGTAGATGAAGAGGTGAAGGGAGAAATACTTCGATGAAGCTTCCTGAGAAGAAGAAGAGGAGGACAATGATTATCTTGAAATTACCATTGTCGTGATTGTTCCGAGGACTTTCGTAGACCGAGACTAGGAACACAACTCGGCCGCTTGTATATCAATCAGGATAGAGCAGAAGGGCATGCCAAGCTTATGGCATTATACATAGCCCGTCGAGTATTGGAAACATAGGTCATATGGCAAATCATAATATGTTGCATCATCTTGTACAACATGATCATTTAGAATGAGAGAGGCATGCCAAAGAACTTTTGATACATCTTCAATAGGGATCCTATCAAGCCAGAACACAATGCAAACATGATACATAGATTCCTCGTAGCACATCACACTATCGAGAACAGAGAAGTTCATACCCATCTCCAAAACGATCTTACTAAGCACTTCTGGACACTTCATAGCGTTTGATTGTTGTGCTTCCGGGCCGACAACATCAGGTGCAGTTACATCTACAACCACTCCTACCTACAACATTAAGCCTTTTTTAAGGATTTATAATAGTAAGCCTTGCTATACAGTTCCACTGAAACTTACTCATGTGTGTACGGTGTGAAATTAGTGGTTGTGACCTTATATCTATTTCTGGCTTGGGTTCAGGGACTGCAACTATGCAAGGACGGTGCGGGTGTCAAGTGCTAGCGTGCCGCATGCACCAACAAGAAATAGACATTCCCAACTCCTAACTTGCGGTTCATGAACCTTGATCATCTTTTAGTTCTCGCAAATGTACTGCTCAATTCGATCCTTCAAGCTTCAAACCATTTTGTCATTAACTCTGTTTGTTCTTAGATACTATAGTAACCTGGCGCAAGCACCCATGTTCCTTTCACACATCATGGAAGAGATCCACTACACAACAATCTCTGAAGTTTTTCATGTGGAATGTTTGTGATACCCACAGAATTTAGCAAGTGTTTCGTTTTCATTTCATAAGTTTAGATGATGCTTTGATTATATGTGCTCATCTGTGGGCTCCATCTTCAGCCGTGACCTGCTCCCAACCTTTGAAGGCCCTCACACAACAACCTTAAATTTCTTCGATAAACCAGAAAGAATTCCAAATCTTGGGAAGAAACAACATTCGGTGAACAACCTAAAGCATGATAGGTTTTTTAATTGGCTATCCGCTTTCACCAAAACTACACTCCATCAAAAGAGTCGAATATTAGAATATACATCTGTTTGTTAACTAAAACAAAGTAGAAGCCATATCACATGATCCAAGAATAATTCTTTGAGATATCCATATACGCTCGAGATAATTCTGTGCAAAAAAGATGTAAATAAATAGCACATCCTACATCAAAGGCTAAACTGCATAAGTGCAAAAAACAATTGCCGTTATAGTCAACAATCCGAGTAAACAAAAGATATAGTCAACATTACGGAGCTAGGAATCAAAATCACCATATGGCAAGGCTGGTTAGTAAAAAAGATAAGAATATATATCCTTCTCCATGAAACTTTATTGTAAACCAGAATGATGATTCAACTACCAAAAATGACTAACAATAGCAAATTGAACTGCCACTGAGCCACGTCCCCCTGCCAGTTTCTATATTCATCCGTGGCATTCACTTAAGCTCCTTGATGCCCTTGTTCCATGCCCATGACACTACCTAACCAATGTGTTGTCACACTATTTGCCTTCGCACCAACCCCCTCCCTGCCCGCAATTGATTGCATGCGAAATAGTTCCCGCATTATTAGTTCACTGAATTGATCCCAAGGTACTATACCAAATATTCATCAGACTGAACTTTATGTTTGCGGCACTATAAGTTCAAACACTCATACCAGTAGATATATTGGTAGCATCTAAATTTGGGTAGATATTTATAGAGTTTTCTATTAAAAGATGAGATCGGCAACGTGGGCCTTCAAGTTCTAGCGGAGGCTGTAGATGAGCCTGCAACTGGTGAATATAAGATATTGACAAGAATTGAGGGTTTTCCTCCTCCACCGAGAATTACTCATTTCATATAGATCTGGGAAAAACTTTGTCAAGATTTTTTTTCTTGCGTGTACATACCCAAAGAATTAGGCAACAATACCTTAAAGATTGGTGAACATTTATGTGACGCACAATTAAACTTGATGATTTTAATACATAATCATAGATATACACGAGGAGCAATTCTCAATTCACAATTGTAAAAGGTAAAACATAACAAACTTCACAAAGTTCTTGTATTTTTTTGAAAAGGAGGTAACCCCCCCCCCCCACACACACACACATCCCACACACACCCCCGCACCAAGTGATACACTTAGCCTATTCAATTACCCAAGTTTGATTACAAGAATTTTCTACTGCACCAAACAAGAAAAAAAGAAAGAAAGAACACTACACAGACATAGTTGCTTCACGCTTCCTCCTCAAGGTTATTTTAGATTGTGGTTGAGCACAAGACGGAACATGGTAACTGAACTCAGTATAAGGAGGTATCCTTGATTCCCATATCACTAATATAAAGTCACCCTTGGGACGAACTGAGGGATCATCAATGATGTCTCTAATCTTAATCTTGGATAGTCTCCTTTCGGAAACCTCAGCTTCAGTCCGAGGAGGCATAAGGTATAGTGGAGCAGCAGGAGAAGGAAGAAAGTTGGTGAAGTCGACTAGACATTGTCTTTTGAAACGGTGTGAAAGATGCTCACCAAACATGGACAAGTTGTTCTTTGTCACATTCTTGAATCTCTTAAACATGCAAACCCAGTGTCGGAGGCTTAGATTCGTCCTCAACCCATTGGTAACTGAATATGCTGCCACAAATGACCCATCACACAGTTTGATGAACTCTCCTGCCAACAATGTCAACTTTGGGTGGTCCTCAGTGCGTGCACTTCCAAATGCTAGTGTCTTGAAGAGGTAAATGTACTCCTCATCCGGTAATTTACTTAGGTGGATTGGCTTCACGGTACCATATTTCATCAAGCTATCCATCCTACTTATGATTATAATCTTACTTCCTATGCGCATGGATGCCACTGCCCGGTAAAAAGGTTTCCACTTCTCATCATCAACATCTGAACGAAATTCGACAATAACCAGTGTTCTTCCTGATGTGCACGTTTCATTCTCTATCCTACAGAAATTGTCTTCATTAAAGTGCAAAATTGAAGAGAAGTAACTGCGGACATTCTCATCATTGCATACATGAGCTACGAGAGTCTTCTTCCCGACTTGGAAGCCGCCGATGATGGCAAGCACAGGCGGAGAACCAAGATGGAAGTGTTGTAGCAAGAAGTTGACAACTTGTTGCTTCTCGGTCCAGCGACCAAACATGAAGTTGTTGACGTAAAGATATGTGTCGTAGGGTCTGCGAAACATGGGTTGGCACCCACCCAAAAGTATAACAAACTCTGTGATATTAGAAACGACAGTCTCTAAATTCAACAAGGCACCTTCTAGGTCACAGTTGTTATAAACTTTGTGATTTGACACATCAGTGTTTGTGCGGAAGCGCTTCAGGGCAGTGCCAAGATATGATGCAAATGAGCCAGCATCCATCACTTCCTTGGAGCCCTCTTTGTTTATGAGTTGGTTGCACTTGAAAGTGTCTAGCGCATAATAACCATGGTACATAGCCCTAGCTAGCATCTTCAGTTGTAGAAGCATACCAGAGTTGGTGATGTACCGTGCATCGGCCTCCTCGACAACCATTTGAGCTCTTATCAGGAGTTGCTGCAACCTCTCCACATCCACATGCGTCTCCTCCAAGCATGTGAGGGCTGTGTATCTGCTTACCAGAAAGGAGAAAAATCTGCTAACAAGGTCACCTGTAACGGCAGAAAGAACCGCTTCCATCTCGAAAACTCTAGGTTGAGACTAAAGGAGATGAAGCAAGAAATTATTTTGGTTTTCAGCTTGTAGAGGAAACTGCTTTGGTTTTCACCTTGTAGCATGAAAGGTTCTGAGCTATTGTCTTCTTTAAATGGATGCCATGGTATTGCCGTGTAGCGTGAAAGACCAATTGGGTGCGTTCTTGGTGACCAGTCCACGTCAAGGTGGAACTAATCACAAGCGTAATTAAGGTAGAGGCAGTTTACACCACGGAATTGGATGCATCTTGCTATTTGAAAAAGTCTAAAGTCATTGTGGAATTGTGAGCGCATTGTTCAACTGTTAGTGACAGGCCTACACTAATCTGCTGTCCAATTAGTAGTTGGGTCTAAGTATCGTCGTGTAATTAGATTATAAGGAAAACAACATGTGTAAGTCTAAGTCAAATCATACTAGTAGCCAGATCCTTGAAAAGAAAAAACATAGGCCTCCTTTGGTTTGTAGGAATTCTATAGGATAGGATTTTCAAAGAAAAACTTTCTTTGGACCCCTTTAATTTGTAAGAATGGATTCCTATTCCTATGCAATATAGAAACCAATCCTTGACATTTAAAAGAAAAAAAACATTAACCTAGATCAAATGAAAGTTATTTTATTTTATGTGTAGAAGAAGGTGAGCTATGTATTTATACTTCAACGCTATGCATTAGATGTTACCTCTTTCTCTATAAAAGTTAAAATACATGTCATCTTATTTTCTATAACGGGATTGCTAAATCTCAGTCGACTGAGACTTAACCAAGTCTTAGTCAATGCTATATTCGTAGGATCTTACATGAAGATCCGTGCAAAAAAAATTAGTTTTTTCTTTCTCCTTTTTATATATTTTGCCACTTCACTAAGACTTGGTTAAATATTAGTTAACTGAGATCTAGCCACGCCCTTTCTATAATTTTTCCGTTCCTTTGATGTTCCTTTGGTACGTGTGTAGCACGTGTGCCCTGTCTGGGTGGTGCTAGGATGGCAAGCCTCCTATGTAATAAAATTGCCTTTTATCGACAAAATATGTCGAGTCCTTGTAAATCAAGGTCATAGGATCCAAGTAGTAGGACGACCTACGCCGTCGGATCAACCTGGAGGCACTATTGCAATGAACAGTTTCAGCCCGTTCGTGCCACCGCTCGTAATTCCGGCGCCCGCCGGAGGCATTTTCGCCATTTCGCTCACAGGGGTATAAAAGGGCCGGCCCCGTGGTGAACCCTAGCCTCCTCCTCTCCCCACACTCGCGCCCCCCTCCCTCGACCCGCCCGCCCCGCCCCGCCGCCTCGCCCACCCCGCCCCACCGTCACGCTCGCCGTGGCCGTGGCCGATGACCACGACCACGCCGTCCCGCCTCGCCCGTCCCGCTCGCAGTGGCCGATGCCCCACGGCCTCGCCAGCCCCGCCCCGCCCGTCCCGCTCGCCGTGGCCGATGAACGCGCCACCAGGGACCGCGGCCACTCGCTGCCCTCGGCCTCCTCACGCCGCCGCCGCTCGTCCTCCTCGACTTCCCCCGTGTGCGTTCTCCTCTTCCTCTCCCTCTGCGCCACGCCGGCGGCGGTGGGGAGCAGCAGCCGCAGGCCAAGGCGGCGGGGAGCAGCAGCAGCAGGCCAAGGCGGCGCAGCAGCAGAGGGAGGACGCAGAGCACGACGGCGGCGGCGGGGAGCAGGCCTTGGGCAAGATTCCTCCGACCCTGTCCCGCGTCACCTCTCCTCCGACCACGCCGCCGTGCTGCGCGACGGCGAGTGGGCGCCCGCCCTCCCCGTCCCGCGACGGCCGAGATCCAGTTCGTCGCCATCGGCCTAAGAAGCGCTTGGGCCGCTGCTCCCCATTGAGCCCGCGTGTGCGACGCATCTGATGGCCAACACAGCCGTGTACAACTCTGCTGCCTCCAGCTCGAGCGCCCATCTCCACTATGTCCAGGTTAATCTCTCTCTCTCTCTCTCTCTCTCTCTCTCTCTCTCATCGTCTTTGCTTGCAGGTTGCCGCTGTCATGGAGTTGGATGAGGTCATGGCTTACTTGACGAGGTCAACAACTAATAGAGGTGAACCACCTTCTGCTAAATCATGAGCTTGGTTACTTTTCAGGCTAATGCCCTGCTGGATGCAGTGTACATGCAGATAGTTAATTGTTGCCTAGGTTCTCCACGGTCCATACCTATCTATAGGAAGGAGAAATTATTTGATTAGATCTTAGTTCTTTCTTCATACCTATCTATAGGAAGGATCTTAGTTCTCTCTTGCTGTTTCTGTTCATTACATTTAATACTTGAAGCTTGCTAAACTAGGTGGACTTTATTTATGTCCAGCACAAGACTGCTGCCAAGATCAATGCACATCTTGATCTTGAATAAAGAGTATCCAATGGGCTCATTGACACGGATAATGTCGACAACAAGGTAGTAAGCTGGTGCATTACTATGTTCAATTGGTGTATTAGTTACTTCCTTGGTCGACAGTTGGTGCATTATTAAATATACTTGATTTGATTTTACAGATAGGGTTGCTACTTTATATTCTGGTAAAGAAGAGGATGTTGTTTTGGTCCTGAGAAAACTGAAACAAAGAGAAGTGCAAGGCGAACTAGGATTTATTAGCAGCATGATATTATAGTTGATGTGGTTCTTCCATGAACCCGTATGTGATTATTTCCAGTTTTGCAAGGGGGTGACCGGGTGAGTAACTATAAACTTTAGCATGCTCTAACACTTAACACATATGTATTTAGGTAATGTTTTCTACTACTATTATTTAGGTGATACAAATCAATATCTTGCTGTCTTTGTTGTGCAGTGGCCTTAGCGCTGGACCACGAGGTTGGATTGGGCAAGCATGTGTATTCTTTAATTATTGGAGGCTTTCATTTCATATTCATATATCAATATAAGGCGGGATATGATGCAGGTGCATGCCTTTATTTTCTTTCTTTATGATCTTCTTCTCTACTTAATGATAGACGCAGTGTACAGGGTGAATTTGTTTTCGTGAGAACTGGTATAGCACTGAATAGGCAACGTGTGAATAAGTGTGCTTAAATGCTTGCTCTGTTTATGTGTTTACTCCTTACTATGTCGTACGAGTTACTTTCGATTTTGCCCTCTTTTAGGCACGTGTCTGTCCCACATATATATTGGTAAAAATGTATGCACTACATAGGTTTCTTCCTCAGATGTACATATTATATTTGTCATGGAAGCTTGATGTCCCCTTACCATCTGTTATATCAGGACATCTTGGTTCTAAATTTCATTCTAGAGATATGCTAATATTTCATTTAGATTGGTTGTTTTAGGAAATGAGAAAAATGCATTCTTTGTTTGTTCTATCTTTCCCTGTTTTGTCATCTTCAGTATTTATTGTTTCTTCACACATGCATTTTTATCGTCCCAACCATCCACTGGCCTGACTAGGGCACGCCAAGGCACACATTTAATTATCAGAAGATGGTTCTGTTTTTACGGGGCCTGCATTTGTAATGGTTCATTAAGGTCACCATTGAGCCGTCTTCTGTACTTCAGAGGTGTATTGTGCGGCTACACGTTTGTGTTTTTTATCCATTCACCCATTGCAGCGTAAATTCAAGTTCTTGGATTTTTATTTCTTGTTTCTTCTTTTTGGTGAGCGAATTGGCTAATTGAGCTATTTTCCTTTTGGTTTGTTGCAGCAACTGGGAAGGATCGTCCTGTATTATCTATCATGGTTATTAGCTAGCAAGAGTGATGCCACAAGTGGATCTGCCCAGTAAATTTGTTAATTACTTCCTCGCAAGAATGAGTTGAGTTTGGTTTCTAATCCCTCAAGTATATTCAAGATTGCCCAATTTTTAGTTACATACAAATATGCACCTTGATTGCTATGCATAATCATGTAGGTAATTCCATCTCTTCTTGTTGATGCTTTATACTGCTTGGATCATATATGCTTTTGTATAACACTGATTCAGGTGGACAATTATAAATTTACTGCACACATATAAGCTTTCTATACATAGATAACTAGAGCATTATAAAGTAGTGTGTCATGTTCTAATTATAAATGAAGAGAAAGTTAAGAACTCTGTAGTTACATAGTAATCATGGCTAGATCGTAGAGGTTAGAGATGTACAAATGATTGATTAAAAATATATATTTATATTTGCAACAACACAATGGATCATGCCAGGTAAATATTTTTCTAGAATATAAGTCAGGTTTAGAACTTTTGACCACGACAGCTGAAAAACCAAAAACCAAAGTAAATCCATCATATATATTCAGTATAATGTATATTTAGATATTCATGGCACTGCATAAGCATAATTCAGTTCCCTGGGAGCACTAGCTGCTCGCGTATACATGTATTTCTTGATTCTAATAAGATGCAGTCAATCTTAGAAAATACAGTAAGCACCTGTCATGAAATTTAGAACTGGCGTGATGTGGCTCTCTGTTAATAACTATCATGCTTGCATAGCTGGTTGATTTATTTGGTTATAATCAAACTTGACCGTCGTAATTTTAAGATCGTGATTATTCTACCATAGTCACATCTGTTTAGATCCTGGTTAGGCATACAATTGCTCCTTCAAATTATTGTGATATTGTAGTGCTCTTTAGTCTAATAAATTATGTATTTTGGGCTGCACCTCCTTTTCTCTTCTTTCCTGGACATATACTCTGCATGGGAAGTTACCTACTTGCCCGCTACACCTTTCTATGAACTTCTGTTAATAATCTGCAAATAATTATAAGAAAAAAAATGCATGAATGTATATAGCTTTGCACCAGGACACTTTACTTTTGCTATGACCTGTCATTTTTGTGAGCTGCAGACAATTTTGGCATTGATGTTCTCATGCAAGTCATCTTATCTTTGCAAGCCTACTGATAGAATACACTCAAGATAGGGCAGCACATGTCAATCCTATGTTTATAAGCTTATAGAAGCAAGCATTTTCATTATCTTTGGCCTTATATTGTCATGATATTAACTTGTGCAGCAGAGTTTTAAAATCAGAATGGGGCAATAAATGTGTCTACTATGACAAAGTGAAGACAAAACGAATGCATCGAGTTACTAATGCAGTGGTTTTCAAGGTTGGACATTGATATCAACTATGATTATTTAATAGAGAAATTCTGTTCATATGAAGCGAAAGAAAAGCATGCAGTACCTTACATTGACAATGATTATTGGGCCATTGTGGTACTTCAAATTCTGATAAAGAATACATTTCATGACCGAGATTTGGGATTTGGAGAATCTCATTCCGATATGTACATGAATCTCCTTTTATTTTGTCACGCTACTGAATGTTCTGATATGGGACTACTTACTCTGTGTATCTCTTATAAATAATAAAATGGTCTATATGTAAAGTTTTCCTATTTTAATTCTATTATGTTGCTGATGACGAATGGTTCTGGAATTTGGAGATTAACATTTGATAATCTCATGTGCTAAATTGGATGCTACCTTGCTTCCAGCTTTTATAATCTCATGAGCCTGTTGAACTCAATGATGTTATTCTTCTGGCCAGAGTAAATGTTTCTTCTTACCCTTGAACACCATAATCGGTTGCTCTGTTACATGTGTTAAACTTTCCCTCATACTAATGCATCATGTCGTTTGATCTTCCACGGCTTACAATATCGTTGGGTCCGGCACCCTCGCGCCATGGCGCGTTGCCGATCTAGTAGTTTACAAGCGTGTGTGTTTACGAGCTTTTGAGTTTTGATCTGATCGATTCTCGATGAAGCTTAACATGGTCTACACCAATAATGAGTAACTACGTTTTCAAGGTCTGCTGGTCTGCGTTGACTTCAGGACATCGACATGGACGAAGCGGATGGAAACAACATTCTCAAAAAAACACGAAAAAATTCGCCATGGAAGAAGATTCATTTGCAGTCACAAATTTACCCCGACTGCCATAGGGCACTGTAACCCACTTCTCTACTTGCTCTAGTTGATGACGAGTGTTAGAGTTGTGTCGAATATAGTGTACAAGGTAGGTTACAGTTGGACTTGTAGTTGTATCGTGTTTACATAGGATGTGGAGTCGTGTCCTAGTAGGACACTTGTATCCTAGGTCTCTCTTATATAGCGGGGATAGACACACGGTGTAACCTATGCCAAAATAGTAGCACCGAAACGCAGGGGAAGCCGGCGGCATGTGCCGGTGTCCAGGGCGACCGGGTGCGGTATTGTGACGGTGTCACGGGGAGGAGCGCCCGTAGTCAGGCCCCGGGGATGTAGCCATATTGGTGAACCTCGTTAACAAATCTCGGTGTCGTGCTCGTGTGATTGCTTGGTCCTCGGATGATCAACGGTATGTCTCGGATTTATTCTAACAACGAGGAGGTCTCTAAAGAGTGTGCTAGTTTAGTAACTATAGCTAGTTTGATATGTAGAACCAGTGAATGTTCAGCGAATTTTGTGTATGAATGACATCAATGTTTGCACGAATGTAGCATCCTTAGTTCCCTATCTTTGTGTCAAATGCCATCCATATGTCTCAATGAACATGTCTATCGTCCCAGCTTTCTAATCCCCCCTCTCATTGTGATCCCATCTCGTCCTTTCGTTCCTCTCAATAGATGTTCACCAAAATAGGATGTTCAACATCACAAACTTAGGAAACATTCCAAATGAAAGTATTGTTCATGCCTACAACAAACAAATTTAAATGGAATCTAGATGTCCAACAATGGCACTTTGAAAGAGACCTCCTCAGTGAGGGAAGCTGACCGTGTTGGTGATCCCACTCTGCCTAAAAGCAGAACATATTGGAAGTGTACAATTGCTCGTCAAACTCCACGCCACAAAATCATCCATCTCATGTGACATCAGTGCGATCACTAGGATATGCCTCACATTGACAACCCTGATAGAGATTCATTCCATTCTTTTTTTTTTTGAAATTGCATCCCATTCCCACTCTCTGGGAAAAACACTCAACAGATCTGAAACCGAGCCGCCTCCCGGGCCGCTCTCGATGTCTCCTGAGGCACTTAGCCGCTAGCAACCTCGTCCTCCTCCTTGACGACGTCGGTGGTGGTCTCCACGGCGGGCCGACCGACATTGGTGGGCCTCCCCACTGCGCCTCCCTCCCCCATCCCTCCTCTAGAACTTTGATTTGGCTTCGTGGTCTGCTAACACCGCCACTGCTCTCAATATGGTTGGCTTGTGGGTGTGGCTTCTCCATGCGGGTGACGGTGCGGCTGGTCGCGGTCCGTTGTTGCCGGATGCATGGCCGAGCTCGTTTGGCAGCCTGATGTAGATGCGGCGCGGCTCTCCTGCCGCTCTTGCTTTAGCCCTGACGCGACTTGAGTGACGGCGCGTTCAACCGACTTGCCGTATGTGTGTGCGGTGCATGGCCAGTCCGTAACCTGGCAGCTACTAATGCGACGGACGAATGGAGAAATGTGAGGTGCCATCAGGATTGGTCCTTGTTGACTACTCCGCACTGCGGCAGCAGTCTCGCTGCAAATTGCGGGGGTCACCTAATGGTCTTTCTGAGGATTTCTCACAGCCAATTGCTTGAGCGTCACTTCCTTCATGAAGGGGTTGTTGTTAAAGAATCTCGCCGTCCGTTTGATTTCATCAGATGGTTGGTGCGGCCATGATAATTATTGTAGTTTGTCGATTGTAGAACCCGATTGCTTTTTTCCCGTCGCATACGCATAACTTTGGTATTATCAAAATTTACTATTTGTCAGCCTGTTTTTTTATGTATGCTAGTGTTTGTTGTGCGCATTCTAATTTAGCAGAGACTGGATGCGTGTTCTTTATGTTTGTTTCCTCTTAATGCTTCTCATTCCATTTTTAAATCAATAAAATCCACCCTTTAATTTTTTTAGGGAGCCTAGTCCTGGCCATGGGCAGCCCGACCCGAACGGCCCGGCCCGAAAAAGCCCGACCCGACGCTACTCCTGGCCCGGGCCTAGATTTTGAGCCTAAAGGCCGGGCCGGGCCCGTCGTTTTTGCATTTTCCTAAAGGGGCCCGGTGGGTATTACGCGTGCGGCCGGGCATGGGCCCAAAAACCAGGCCCTATGGCCGGGCCGGGCTGGGCCTGGGTTTTTTGCGTCTGGCTTGGCTAGGCCCACCCCGAGGTATAGCCAGGGTATAAGGGAGCCCATTCTAGGCGCCGGGCTCTCGTCTTTCGGCCGCTATCACTTGGGCAAAGCCCAGAAGCCCACATGGAAGAAGGCCCAGTTAACTACATGCGAGCATCGTTTTGTTCTTTTCTTCGTCCCGGCCTTCGATTATAATCACAAAAAAAGAGGCCATGGAAATCCCCCACGCCGCGCACCACCACCAACTCTCGCCCGCGGCGCCGCTCCGCCACCAATGGCCGCCGCCGCCGCCGCGGCGGCCACGAGGAAGGACGGCGCCGACGCCCGCCCGCACCCGCATCGCCTCCGGTCGCCCACCAGGGTCGCCGCGGACTTCGCCATGGGCGGCGCGGCGGCGGTGGTGGCCAAGACGGGGGCGGCGCCGGTGGAGCGCGTCAAGCTGCTGCTGCAGAACCAGGCCGAGATGCTGCGCCGGGGCGCCCTCATGCGGCCCTACCGCGGGATCGCCGACGCCTTCGCCCGCGTCCTCCGCGAGGAGGGCGCCGCCGCGCTCTGGCGTGGGAACCAGGCGAACGTCATCCGGTACTTCCCCACCCAGGTCAGCCCCCCCTCCCCCCCTTCATCCCCCCCTTGATCCATCCACATTCTCGACTGACGAATCCACCCTTCTGATTAACGGACTCTCTGAATCATGATACGTGCCATGCCTGCATTCAGGCAGGCTCCAGCAGCAGAATTAACAAGCAATGCAATCCTACTTGTGCATCGAACAATCTAGTTTTAGTCATTGATTTAGTGTAGAAATGTGCTGATGCAGTGGATCGGGTGAGGCGTATTTGTTTAGTAATTCGCTGCACCCACACGTATTTTGTGTGGTCCTCAAACTTGCTCACGGCTCTGAGGTAGTGAGGTGTTGTCTGACTGGCTGGTAGCTCTCAACTTTTTCTCACCACAGAATCTGTAGTGTCTTTCGCTTTCATAAGGCCAGTTATAATTTTATATCTGGCACAGGGAAAGCAGGAATGGCTCAGAATCTGATGGGTCATGTGTGAAGAGCACTGCCAGATTTATCACGAAAAAACAGAGGCGTCGTCGTGTCTTCAAAATGATACAAAATCATTCCACCCCTCGCAATATGAATAATCAAGGCTCCACACTCACACCACAAAGGCACGCACTGGTGTCATAATGGTTATGCAGCTGAATCGTACTTGGTGGAATACTGTTATCTCTTTTCTGTATAACCAATCGCCAAATATCTATAGCATATTCCTGGTAATGGAAGATAACAGGTGTCTATCACAGAACAAACTTATGCTTCCACTGTTACAATTATTTTCTGCAGGTTTTGTGAAATAGCTAAGAGTGAGAACTCTGTTCCCTTTCATGCTGAACCATCAAACATGACCCTGAGCACCATGTTTATACCCTCGGCACGTGTACCAACCAGGGATTCTGATGGATGCTGTACATAATTGCATTAGAAAAATAGCTAGTGTGCGGATAGTTTACTATTGCAGAAAGAACTTATGCTCCTGCTGTCACAATTATTTCTGCAGGTTTTGTTTAATAGCTAAGAGTGAGAACCACATCCCGTTTCATGTTGAACTATCAAACATGACTCAGAGTACATGTATACACCCTTAACTTGTTGATGTGAGGAAACACTCTGCTGTCATGGAAAACTTTCCTGTTAAAAAATGGAATGAAACCTCACTTGTGCACCTTCTGTGCAGGCCTGCAACTTTGCATTCAAAGGCTACTTCAAGAGCTTCTTCGGCTATGACAAGGAGAAAGACGGGAAATGGAAATGGCTAGCTGGAAATGTAGCATGTGGCAGTGCTGCAGGAGCCACAACATCATCCCTGCTATACCATCTGGATTATGCACGGACGCGGCTAGCCACTGACGCGATTGAATCCCGAGCTAACAAACGTCAGTTCAGGGGGTTGCTAGATGTCTACAAGAAGACACTTTCAACTGATGGCATTCGTGGATTGTACCGAGGCTTCAGTGTGTCTATTGTGGGTATCACTCTATATCGGGGTCTTTATTTTGGCATCTACGACACCATGAAACCTATTGTACTAGTAGGGCCACTGGAGGTACCGTCATTCCTGTGTAATCTGCATCTCACAGATGAGGTTCCAGAAGACCAGTTTGACACAATTATTATTGGATGCTTTTGCAGGGAAATTTCCTGGCCAGTTTTGCCTTGGGATGGACAATAACTACATTCTCCGGGGCCTGCGCCTACCCATTTGATACACTCCGACGAAGAATGATGTTAACTTCAGGGCAGCCATTCAAATACAGGAGTGCCTTCCATGCCGTAAAACAGATAGTTTCCACCGAAGGGTTCTTCACTCTATTCAGAGGGGTCGGTGCAAATATCCTCTCGGGAATGGCAGGAGCTGGAGTTCTTGCTGGGTATGACCAGCTCCAACGGTTTGCAGGCCAGCATGATTACAAAATTGAGAACAAGATGAAAGGGGCATTGAAATGATGTGCATATGATGGATCTGCATGTGCCTGGGAAGATCCTTGGGTTTTCAGGTTGCGCGCTGGCCAGATGGGATGTGTTGTGTGAGCTACAATTACCGAGCTCACAGAGCAGAACTTGAAATGCCTGCAAGAGTTAATAGGAATGAATTGATCAGCACAGCAACATTTCCTGGAGGTGAATTTTCCCAGGACAAGAGATGGCATCAGGGTGCAATAGATGATTCGTTTCTATACAAAGTTTTGAATACCATAACGACTAGATCTTATTCTTGAAGTGTAAATTAATATGGTTTCGAAAGCTGATGTCCCCATGTACACTATTAATGTAAACTGTAAATAGTACTGTAAAGAATAAAGAGTTTAGGGCCTCTTTGGTTCAAAGGAATTTCGTACCTTGTATTAGGTTTGATCCATTTATCCATACTTGGAACATTAGTTTGCTGTCACACCTTTGCTGCATTTTCTGTAATAACTAAGACTGACATAAGCCATTGTTGTCGTTGTTGTGGTTTTTTAGGGTACATTGTGGTATTTTTTGATTGATCAGGCGTCAAGACTCTCCTCGCCCGGCCTTGTTGATCGCTTAGAAGGCCCAACTAATGATGATTTGTAGGCTTCCGCTGAGACTGGAATAAATCTGAGGTGAGCTTCATTTTGCATTGTCCTTTGTTTTGGCCTTTGATCATACCACAAACTAGATCATGGAATTATCATTTTCAGTGTAAAACTCTCTATGTGGCTTGCTTGTTTTGAACAAGTATCTAGCGCCATTCTGAACAAGGCTTTTCACCACATATTAGTAGGTTACAAGTCGTTCTGAACTTTCAGTTCAGCTGGTGTAGCATTTCACTTCTGCACCACTGATTCTTCAGGATCTATCACAATTCTCAACTGGAACAAGTGGCAGGTTATCTGGTGTGAATTGCAATTTACTCTAGAAAATTAAGTTTGATTGGAATTTAGTGTTTTTAACCTCCACTGACAATGACTTTACTTTGATAAATTAGACTGTAATTTTGTCAAATTGTTTCCCCTGCATATATCCAAAGAACTAGGCAGTTTAAGCTTCTTAAAGAATTGCAAACATGCATGCAACACACACTTTAACTTGACAATCGTAATCAGTACTTATAGTGATAATACATCGAGTAGTTCTTGATTCACAACTGTAAGAAGTAAAACATAAAATAAACTCCACAAGTTTGGCTATAATATGAAAGAAAAGAACACTAGAGAGAAATAATAGCTTCACGCTTCCTCCGCAAGGTTGTTTTAGGCTGCTGTTGAGCACAATACGGGACATGGTAACTGAACTCGGTATAAGGAGGTATCTGTGATTCCCATGTCACTAATACAAAGTCACCCTTAGGACGAAGGGAGGAATTCTCAATGATCTCTCCAATCCTTATCTTAGGTAGTTTCCTGGCTTCAGTTCGAGGAGGCATAAGGTGTAGTGGAGCAGCAGGAGAGGGAAGAAAGTTGGTGAAGTCTACTGCACATCGTTTTTTGAAACGGTCTGATGGATGCTCACCAAACATTGACAAGTTGTTCTTTGTCACATTCTTGTATCTCTTCAACATGGAGAGCCAGAACTGAAGGCTTAGATTTGTCCTCAACCCATTGGTAAGTGAATATGCTGCCACAAATGACCCGTCCAACAATTTGATGAACTCTCCTGCTAACAGTGTCAGCTTTGGGTGGTCCTCACTGTGGGCACTTCCAAATGCTAGTGCCTTAAAGAGGTAGCTGTACTCCTCATCTGGTAATCTACTTAGGTGAATTGGCTTCACAGTACCATATCTAGTCAAACTTTCCATCCTACTAATGATTATAACCTTACTTTCTGTGCTTATGGATGTCACTGCCCGGTAAAATGATTTCCAGTCCTCATCATTGACCTCTGAAACAAATTTAACAACGACCAATGCCCTCCCTGTGCACCTTTCTGTTTCTACCATATGGAAGTTGTCTCCATTGAAGTGCAAAATTGAAGAGAAGTAACTACGGACCTTTTCATCATTGCATACATGTGCTACCAGAGTTTTCTTCCCGACTAGATAGCCACCGATGATTGGAAGTACAGATGGAGAAGCACGAGGGTTGCGCTGCAACAAGAAGTTGATAACTTGTTGCTTCTCAGTCCAACGACCGAACATACAGTTGTTGACATAAAGATATGTGTCATAGGGTCTGCGAAACATGGGTTCACACCCACCCAAAAGTATGACAAACTCTGTGATATTAGAAACAACGGTCTCTAAATTTAACAAGGCATCTTGAAGGTCACAGTTGTTATCAACTTGGTGATTCGATACACCAGCATTTGCACGGAAGCGCTTCAAGGGAGTGGCAAGATATGAGGAAAATGAGCCAGAACTCATTACTTCCTTAGTGCCCTCTCTGATTAGTTGGTTGCATTTGAAGGTGTCTAGTGCATGATAACCATGGTACATAGCCGTAGCTAGCATCTTCAGTTGCAGAAGCATACCGGAGTTGGTGATGTACCTCCCATCCGCCTCCTCGACAACCATCTGAGCTCTTAGCAGGAGTCGCTGCAACCTCTCGGCATGCTTCTCCTCCGAGCATGGTGCTTCTGAATACCTCCCGATCAAAAAGGAGAAGAATCTGCTAACAAGGTCACCTGCAGCCGCAGACAGAACAACTTCCATTCTGAGAACTTTTGGTTGAGTGACTACTGAACTGAAGGGGAATGCTGATGTTGAACTAGAAAATTGTTTTGGTTTTCACCTTGTAGAGATCAGGTTTCGAGGTGTATATAAGGTGTGGTTGAGATAGATGCATGCATGGCATTGCCGCGTACCGTGAAAGACCAGCTGGTGCCTTTCCGCTGGCCAATCTAAATTTGACGCGGGATCAATGGTTAGCATAAGGTGGAGGTAGTGCACACCAGAAATCCATGGTGGGATCTTAGGAGGTCTAAATCGTTGTGGAGCTGTAAGCACATTGTGTGTTTTAGCTGCAAGTCTACAGTCTACAGTCTACATAGTACAACGTGTTGCTTTTTTGCAGATTCTCCCATCTTCGGTTGACTGAAGGTCTTCGGTTGCATGACTTTCTTTTGCAGAAGTGCTCTAGCTGCTGTGACCTGATGGTTGTCCGTACAGGCAGTGGCCAAGTGGAGCTAGCAGGATGCCACTATGAGGCAAAGTGGCAAACAGAATAGACTAGGTGAGTTGCTGAACCCAAAAAACATGGGTGGGTGGCCTGGGCTTCAAAGACCTTGAAGATAGATTCAACATCATGATGGTAGCACCTGAAACATGGGTGGGTTGCTTATAGAATCGCTGTGCTGCCCTCAAATTCTCATGGACAGATACTGTTGGAATTCTGGTGTTCAGCAAGCTGAAGCAAAGTAAGGAATTTCATTGCCTGAAGAAGCATCCTGCATGGAATCTGGTAGATGCATGACCACCGACAGGTACTCCAAATCACAAACTTTCTCTTGAATTTTTTTATCACTACTTGAAATCACTCTACATGGCTTGCTTGTAGAACAAGCATGAACCATCCCTTGAAGTACCTGAAATTAATTAATTAGACACATATAGATCTCTACCACATACTAGTTGGTAAAAAGTTGCTCTGAATTTTTAGCTGGGGTGTAGCAGCATTCCACTGCTGCACAGACAATTCTTTAGACTCGGTCTCAACTAGCATGCATTAGTTGTAGCACTACTTTATTTTTGTACATCAATGACCTAACAAGAGTAGAGGGGCCTTGACTGAAAGTGATTCAAAGCACTGATCATCTAGCATGAATCACGGGATTCAAAGCACTGACGAAGCGTACTTTGTCTCATACGGATGGGTGTCAGCTGGATCTCGTTCGCACGCATGTCACGCATTATCTTCGTGATACTGACAGTGATGCTCTCGGTGCTGGGCGCAACATATAGGGAACCGCCGTCCTCTGTCGGTGGCCACCCGTCGGAGAGGGTGGTGCTGCTGACCTGGAAACGCGAATATTGCTGCCAATCCATGTCGACGTTGCTCGAGCCAAGTTGGCACCTGAACTTGCACCCCTTCTCCGTGGTGGCGGCCGCATCAGGATCTACGCACAACACTGAGGCGGCGCTGCCGTAAGGTGGCGGCACCGGAGTGAACTTCACCAGGAAAAAGGGACTCCTGTCTCGCCTGTGGAGAACATGCACTCCTGCTTTCACCTCCAGTGTGAGCTTATCATTGTACTCGAACTCAGTGGATGGCCACATATGACCGCTGGTAAGATGAGCCAGGAGTGCGACGGTGGAGCCGGCGAAGTTGCAGCCAGGTTCCGGACAGAAGCATGGCGCATGGGGGCATGACTTGCCATGGTCCTCCACCTCGTGATAGTGCGTCTTCACGGTGCACCCGTACGCGGCGTTGGCGCAGGGGATGTGGAGGGACTCCAGGATTTTTTCAAGTGCGTAGCATCGGTTGTACCCGCCGGGGAGGGAGCACGTGTTGCAGTTCTCCTTGTTCATGAGTCTGCCATGGCAGGGCGAGCAGATCGCATGCCCAACGACGCACTGCGTGTCAACAAGAAAACACATCATGATGTATTCTGAAGTCCTGTTTGAAAATGATGAGCATGTGAAAACAACAGTGGGAAACCATGCAAAACTTGGTTGACCAATTTGTTCTTGGAAATGTTGTGTGCAGGTGACAGAACTCACTACATAATCTTTGAACAAGGATACAATTCGCTCGCCACAGGTATCCCCAAGTCAAGGAGGCTCTCAATTTGTATTGTCATTTTTGGAGTTGAGGAGATGTTTTACTACAAGACTGTACAGAGGAAAAAAATGGTGATGTACGGTGTTTGTTGTAGGATGGTGAGTGATCTGATTTAGTAGGGTCCTGGAGGCAACAATGCACATGTTTTGCAGAGTTAATGTGGTTGTTTAGGCAGAAATACAATACAAGAATGGATCTGGAAACTGGAAAGAATTATCCACACCCTGCAGCCGAAAAGTACTATCGGTTTACACGGCAATAAGGTTGTCACTCACAGGTTGCTTCTAGCCCTGCACAAATTTCTTCAGATAGTTAGGATTCCCACTAAAGATTAAAAATCCTTGCTGGTGCCTACTTAGACAAAACGAAATGAGGGGATATAATGGTGAGAAATATGTTTTGTTTTGTTTGTCCCTTGGGTGTAGACACTGATCCCCTCTTCTTTACTCTGCCCCATGGCAAGCAGATATGTATGTATGTAGTTGATACAGTATGCATTTGATTTTAGCTGTACTCTGGTTGATACAGATCCAACTGCGATTTCTATTTTCTATTTATGATAGAGCAAGGTATGTGATTTAGCTAGCCGTTCCTTTTTTGGTTATACAGGGGCAGGGCAGAGGAGGCCAGTACTAGGCTATACGATCTAGCTAGCCGTTCCTTTTTTGGTTTTTGAAATCCGCGCTGATGCTCCCGTTTTTTTTCATTTCGGTTTTGGTTTTCCTCAACTTTTTGGTCGTATATTTTTATGTGGGTTGCTCGAAGAAGGTGATGATGTGGCTATTCTCTGCACCCGGGCTTCAGTTGTGAACGGTAAACTCGTTTTAAATAGTGAAAAATTTAAACAAATCCGAATAGTTTTTGTGATGCAATAGGCTCATTTGCGTGATGACCGTTCAAAATTTGGTGAAGTTTGTACATCCAGGAGCTCATGGCAAAAAGGATAAATTTCGGGTGTGCGAGAAACTTTTGAAAAGAACATTGTTCACAACCGATTTTATCGTTTTTATCACTAGCTCCTTGAATGTCTAAATACTCCGGAATTTTGCACCAACATCACCAATTTAAGCATCTTGCACAAAAAATATCTATTTTTTATTTTGCCAGTTTTTTTTTAATGTTAATCAGGTGTAGATGAGCCTAGGCACGGAATTGAATTTTTGAGCTACATCAAGAAATAGTAGTAAACCATCGCCAATCATTTTACCTATCGGTATGCTTGCATCATTATATTTAAACATATAGCAAGTCGTAATGTCGTATCGTGAGCTGGTTAGGCAAAGCTTTCAATTTCTGATCAGAACCACATACTTGCATATAGCCGACCACTTGGGCGAGCACCTGAACGAGCAGCCCGGCGAACCCGTGGTACCACGACCATGCCATGCGTCTCACCTGCGTCAACATCTCACCGCGCGTCTCGGTACCTTGTTAGCGCGTACCGAGACGCCGAGCTGATGTAAAAGGCACCCCATCCGTCGGAGAGTACGACTGGAACCATGACGGACACTTGATCAAGTTCGTGCTTGCAAAGGGAACATGATTATGACCAGTCCACTGTTCGGGTAATGCTCAGGTCAATCCCAACGCACGACCCCAAATGGTCTGGTTGTGTCCGTTGGGGGTAGAATGGACGCCGCCCCATTGCCATACCTAAATGGACGATCCAGACAAAACAGACGTCCGTTTGGGGGCGTGCGTTGGAGTTGGCCTCATGTCGTGGTAGCTGAATTTGGACGTGTGCCGGGCGGTGGAGACGACGAAGTACCCAGTCTGAGTATCACGCAGTGGCTAACGCGGTTGTTGAATGCTCCTGGCTTCGCCAGATTCTCCATTAGCTTTCTTGTTCCATCGATAAGGCCACAGTGGTGTATTGTGACAATGCCCCCGCCAACTTCGTTCATCACCGTCATACCAAGCATATTGAACTGGATATCCTCTTTGGAGAGCAGGTGTCTGTAGATCACGTTCGAGAACTTC